TTAGCAGCTGATTTAGCAAAGTTGGACTTGTTTTTTTTATAAGTAGCGAAATTATCCTCAAGAAAACCTAACAATAATCCTGTACTTTTATCATTCTAACCTGTTTCTTCTTCAACAAGCCCTAGTTTTCAGTCAGTTTTCTTTTTAAGAGCTCTTGCAGTTGGCAAAAGTATTACTTTCTGAATTTCAGATAAGGTCTGTGGTAAAGCGACAGCAATAATATCAGGATTTTGTACAAATAGTTCTTGTGAATTTCTTTGTAAAGATTCTTGTGAAAGTTTTTGTGAAAGTCTTTGTAGTACTTGTAGAACTTGTGAAAGTTCTTGCGAAAGTTCTTGTAGAAGTTCTTGTGAAGATTTTTGTGAAAAGTCTTATAAAGGACTTTGTGGAATTTCTTGTAAAAGTAGTTTAGAAGCAATTGAATGAAAGGAGACTCTTGAGTTAGACATTATAAAGGTTATAACTTCAGCAAAAATTTTAGTTAGACGCGAAGACGTGTCTGTTGTAATAAAATCGTCAGAGGTGAACACTAATTTTTATAGATCAGATTGATTGATTATTGATCATTTTTTAGCCAATCATTTAGGGACAAAATTTCCAATCTGAACAATCCGATCTAGAACTGAACAGGACTAAGATCACGTAGATAATATTGATAATGAAAACTAATCATATTTACGGTCACAAATTCATGAATCACGATTAACATGTACTATGAATCTGTAATGTACTGTAAGTCTGTATTACATAATTCTAACTTTATTAAATTTTTTCATTATAAAAAATGCCTTTTCAACAAAGAAATATAAAAAAAAAGATACAAGAGAAATGCATAATGCTATCAAAGAAGAAGGGAGTACGCAGATCTTAGGCTATTTAATATGAATCCTAGCATCAAGTTATTTTCTTGCTCTCTCAGATTTATGTAGTATCTATAGCTAATCTTTTTCTATTACTATATCTAACTATAAGTTTTTCAACCCATACACTTTTCTTACATCAGATTTTTGAAATAAATTATCCCACCCAAATCTACAGAAATTCTGTCTATCTCTTCCAAATACGCAGATCATGTAAAATAATATTTCCTGCAATGAAACTTCTTCAAGATTAAATAATTTCAAATTTACAACATAAATTCAGGAGATTAGCAACTGAGATAAAAAAATATTTCTGATTCACACTTACCATTACTATTAATTTTCACAACATTCCATTCTGCTTAAAATTTATTATTTAATGCATTACAATAAAAGTAATTCAATTTTTTTATTGCCCGTACGATACTGTGTCAAATACCAAGAATTATTATTGTTGACACATTGCATCAAATTTTGTTGAGAAGCGTGATGTAAGGCATGTGATGAGATTCATGTGAATAGTTTCACTGCATCTATTGTATATATGATTGTCAAAGATTTTCTCAGCAAAGATCAGAATACTGATATATAGTAAGAAGAGTAATATATTCATTTTATTTTAGAACATCTATAGAGACAGGAAAATCGATTAACATCGTGATGACATATCTTAAGAAGCTAACTAAGCAATAAAATCAATATACCTTATTATTGTCAGAATATAGGAGTTCATTTTGATCAAGGATATTAATGATGTAAATAATAGTATGTTAGATTAGTTTTGATTTTTTCGTTTTACTTGCATAAGGCGAATAAAAGGATTCACTATCCAGGTCATCACCTTTTTATATAATTCACAGAATCAATTTTGTTATATGCTTTTGGGAAAATTACGTTAATATAATTGCATTATGAAAATCTGGTTAATAGACTCTCCTTAATTTAACAATAAAAGAATTTAATGCTATCTATATGTAAAGATCATCAAGGGGTCCTTTTACAATAATATACATAATAATTTTGAGAATATGTGAGAAAGTTTGAGAATAAAGTTCTTGGATCTTCGCTGGCAATCTTATTTGCTGATCCAGATTTTCTTAATTATCCTGTAATAATATACATATTTTTGAGCAATAAAAAATTAGTATGTACAGTCTAAAAATTATTACCAATCACTACAAGAAAAATAATTGACTACATTTTGTAAGTTACTCAGTATCCTAAACATTTTTTATTTGCAATACATTAAGCTAAAATAAATTACATGATGCGCAACTAACCCTGGGTATATAATACTATTCTATGACTGTAAACTATTATACACAATTATTTTTTCGAATAATATTTCTCTATTCTAGCTTTTTTTCTTTGACAATCTTCACACTTCCAACTAATAGAAGTAGAATCTACTGGTTAATCATATGATAAATATTAATTTCAATGACGCAGTACTGGATAGAGAAGTATATAGTTACTGCATATGATATATAAGCTCACGTAATTCAAAAAAAAGAAAGAAATTATATGACATTTCAGTCTATGCAAATGTAAGATTCTTCCAATATTACTTCTAGGCAGTCACTAGAGAAATGGCGGAACTCATTACTGACTGAAGTGTAGATTATCAAAATATGTCTTATGCTCTAAAACTTTTATAATGATTTTATCAAGATCATTAGTAGCATTTTTATCGACCAGCTTAACTTTGTTTGCTTTCTCCTCAGAGAAATAATCTCTAGGTCAGGCTTAGTTAATGTTTTATCCTCTAACTTTGCTATCCTTGCTATTTCTTCACGCATGAACTATTCATAAAGTTCGTGATTATATTTATCATCAGAGCTTTCTTCCTCTTTAGAATCATTGAAAGCATTTTATTGTTCGTATTAGTTCCTTCCTCTGACTGAGTTTTAGGAAAATAATCTATAAAATCTGATGTATTACTAGAATTATCTCCCTCTAGGTCATCTGAGAGAGAGTCATTAGCTAGAATAGTAGTCACAGTTTCAGAAATTTCATTTATACGACTAGTAATTGTTTTCAATTTGACCTGTTCTATAATATAATCGATTTGAGGATTAGTAAGCCTTGAAATTTTGTTAGCACTATAGATGACCTATTGAACCATATATTCCAGTATACCTTTAATCTTTTTTAGAGTTACAGGGTCATATTTATACCCAAATAATTTATTAATTTTTCTTGCTTTATATGTCATTACTTGTAAATATCCAATCAAAACGTCTATAAGATATGGTTTCATTTCATTATAGATTCGCTTTCTTGCAGTCAGATCTATAAGTTTCTTATTATTAGACTTAAGCTTCACAACTTTATTTTTGAACCTTTCAAAGAATAAATATCATAACATAATCTCTGATGCTTTGCTACGATCATTTTATTTCTTGTAACATTCGCCTGGCAAAATGAATTGACAAGTTTTTTAATGCTTATTAATTCAGAAACTATGGTTTTAGAAGAAGAAACTTTATAGTCTGAAGTGGATCATCAGATAAAAGTAGCTCTTACAACAAATCTTGTATGAATTCAGTTACTATACTCAAGGAAATCTGAACATTTCTACCATTTTTAGTCAGTAAGATATGTCATGGTAAGCTATCAGAAGAATTTTCTTTTCTCGATCTTTCTGTTTCTAAATTTCTATCTATCTTCAGGTAGATGTTAGGAGGAGTATTGGCAATTTCTTCCTCTAGTCTCTTATATGATAATTTTGAATTTTCGAAAAATCTCTTAACATTGTTAAGGGTTTTTATATCACATGATAATTCAAAATTTTCAGAAAACCTGGATTTTATATTGTATATCACTTTTGAATCTACTATAGGAATTTTTCTCTGAGAGTATCTACAATGACCGATTGCGAAGCAACTACCTCTATTTCATGAGAAACTACAATTGGTAATTTCATTAATCTCTAGTTCATATGACTTCTCATTATTGTTAACATTTTTGATATATAAGCAGTATTAGTAGCGCTATCCTAATTAGCTGATTCATATTGAAGTTTCTTCTCCTTATTGTGTTACCTAATATCTTTACTAACGCTTTTCTTATATGCCTCATCCAAGAAATTATCTATCTCTTTCTCCTATGATGATTTTTCATGATGGTCTGTACTTGAATTGAAATTATATGAGTTATTGTTAAAGGTATTGTATTATCATTAGGAATATTATTATTAGAAATATTATCATTAGGAGTATTATCAATTAGTGATTGGTTCTGTTCCACTTTCATGAGTCTATCTCTAAACTCAACATTCTCAGATTCTAACTTCTCAATTCTGGCCTTGAGTTTGGCATTTTCAGTATTACATCTCTCATATATTCTCTATTCGCTCTTAGAGCCTTAACATTCCTGTACTTAAGTTCAGCTATTTTAGTATCAAACACTGAAAGCTTGATTCTAAGATTGAAGATTTCAGTATTTTCCTTTCTAAGCTCTGCATTCTCAGCCTCAAGCTTGACATTCTTGGATTCAAGTTCAGTAATATACTGTTTTAATATTTCAAGTTCAGATGATATGATCTATATGTATAACTAATATACTGTATATAAGCATTCAAAATAAAAAATATCATGTAATTTTTCCTCACAACCCATTAGTGAAAAATGCTAAGAAAATTTTTTATTATTACATGCGAAAAATAAATACAAATGTTCAGAATTTTGCTTGGGATACATGATTATTTTATGCTAATACTTTATTTTATTATTTTGTTTTTACCTGCTTTAATAATTCCTAGGATTCAATTTGACTATCAAACATCCACTTGATTTACCTAAATAAGTCCTTGATAGGCTTTACCAAGTTATCATAAGTTAATATAGCCTTATTGATTGGTAATAGAGAGAGTGACAACGAATTTAATAATACTTCTACCTTTCTTTTGCTATTATTCTCAAAATTAGACGAAACTAGTTTGATTATTATCCAATCTATAGCAGTTAATAAAATACCATATATTACATCTTTATGTAAACTTGCCATTTTATAGCTATATTTTTTAGGGTTGCACTAAATGGATGTCTGCAGTTAGATTGCATTCTATACAATTTCTTGATTAATGTCCTCTTTTTTCGCCTCAGTTATTGTGATAATGATATTCCCTATCTTTATAGCTCAATCAACAGGACCTTTACCATAACTTTCTGATATTTCATACTGAGGATAAACCTTTATTTCACCTCCATATATTGATACTACTTCATAAATGATACAGAAAATATATTCACAACGAGTAGCCTCATTAGTGCTAGTGATGTATTAAAATGTCTTGTGCAATCTTAAAAATTCACCTATAACTTATTTTCAGATATCTTCTAGCATATTTTTAACACCTCTAGCAAAAGCAGGTAGTTCATTATAATCATCTGCCTTCAAGCCAAAGAGTGTCTTTATCTTATCAAACTTTCACAAGGAAATGATTGTTGAGCTGTTATAGAAATATAAGATAAAAACTATTAGTATTTGTTGCGTAAATATTATAAAAAATATAGCTAATATTAAACATTACTTACATGTGTCCACAACAATTGGAAGGTCTACTTTGAATCTCTAAGACCAGATTATACATACTAAGTTCTCATAATCAACCATATGAATACGTTCCTTTCTACTCTCACAATTAATAACAATATGTTCATTCTTAGTTCCGTCTGAAAAAGTGAAACAAGTACGAAGCTTTATCTTTAAAGCTAACAAGGTTATTTACTTACGAGTTACTGCCTATAAGAATTTTTCTGGCTTATATCACTTATACATTACGGTACAATATACCTCTTTCATCTTAATAGGACACTATATGATTATATATATGTGTTCGTTAGCTGGTTAAGAGGTGAAGTGTTGCTAATCTTTGAAAGTAATGAAAATTCCTTATCACTAAGGTCCTCTTTGATATTAACGTTTATTTTTGTGTTGATAAGTTCAAATTTCTTGTTTTCTTCTTCGAAGGAAATGTTGACCTTCCATAGCTTAATATCATTTGCAGTTATGTTCTCAAACTTTAGGTGAAGCTTCTTTTTGATAGCGTTCTTGAGCTTGCTAATAGACTTACTTATCTTAATATCAACTTCAAAAGTATTTTCATAAGAGTTTTTGCTTACGACTAAACAACTGAAAGTGATAGTTGACATAGCGCTTTTATAGGGATATTTAGTTCAGACAAAAAAAATATTGTTACGTTCTAGAGTAAGATAAAATTTTCCTGAAGGTGCTTTGTTATTTCTGTTCGAGAAAGAGAATACTGATATTAATATAGAGTTTTATGTAATACAAGTATTGCATCATTATATGTGATCTATTTCTCATGTATAGTATATTCAATAAATAATAATACTTTATTTATAATATAAAAAATGTTATCAGAACTGACCTACAATACATAAATTGTGACTATATCACTAATATATAATGTAAAAAATTATTTGGGATATACAGTGAAATGAAAGTGCTCTGCTTTAGATTTCTCAGTAAAATTATTGATAAAATCCTTATTCATGTTCATTTTCATTTCAATAATACTTTCAGCTCGAATTATACAAATTTTGAGAGGAATTTTATTAAATGGTACCCCCAATCTACTTTGAATTACAGTCTTGAAATTACTATAATGATTACCTCTATGAATTGTAATCGATTACATTACTTTAATGCATGGAATATTCATAAGTTTGCTTATAGAAATGATAAGTCAATTGATAGTAATGTTATTATCGTCCATTTCAACTCCTAAATGCAAGAATCTATAGTGAGAAAATTGCTAAGCCCGCTCACATTAAAGAACATATATTATATATACCTTATTTTACGTTATTTTCTCTGAAAAATATTTTGCGAAAAGTTAGCTGAACTTTCATATATCTCTACATGCTTTATATTTTACTATTGGGAAGAAAAAAGTTAAGGAGGTATGAGGTATGATAATAAGCTGCTAATTTATACATATTTTTGATCTTATTTAATCCTAATTGGTTCCTTTGTATATCATATAACCAGCTAAGATTAGATTAAACCTGCTCACATCCAGCTGCATGAGGTGTAATTGAAAACAATTTAAACGCTAATTACATCAAATAATCTTCTCCTTATCAGACATAGCTATTCAGAACTTAAATTCAACCATAAATCAGCCTAAAACTGGTCTCAATTTAGCAACAATTTAGACACTAATAGATGCCGATTGACTTTAATTGGATATGACCATTCAGCCTAAAATTGACCTTAATTCAGCATCATTCAGCATTAATTCAGAACTTAAATAATATAAATCAGCCTAAAATTAATCTCAATTTAACATCTTCAACATCAATTTAGAATTTAAATAACCATAAATTAGCCTAAAATTGGCCTCAATTTGGTATTAATTCAGTCAAATAAGTATATAAAATTGATATATTATATTTATTAAATTTATTAAATATTATAATTTTATTAATAAT